ACTGAATCAAACCTTGGAGGCTGGGCGTCTGTGTTTGGAAAGCCCTGCAGCTCTCGGATACCACCTGCACGTGGCCTGGGAGCTCTGCTTTGTTTCTTGGCCTGAGTTCTAGCCCATCACTGGAATGCTTGTTGGGCAGACAACTTGACTTTCCTGTGTCTGCTTTCAGAATATGTAACTGCTTTGGGAAGTGTGAAGTTCTGCATGAAGTCAAGCACCACCCAGCTCCGTGCTGGGTACATGTTGGTCAGCAAAGCCAGCAGATGCTGGAGTGGGGGATCCTTGGGCTGTTGGGGAAAATGATCAAGAGGAGGCTAGTGGAAATTTTAGGGACAAGGTGGGAGAGGCAGAGGCAGTGGCTGTCATCCCCCACCCTTAGGCAGTGGTACTGATAGACCCAAGAAGAGCTGCTGGCGGGAGGTAAAGGGGTGGCTGAATCCCAGTTCCTTCATCTTCCTGCACCCCCAGCCATGTCCATGGAACTCTAGCCTTCATGGGACATGGTTTGCAAGCTACATGGGAGCAGAACAAACTCTAGACTGAGGGCCTTGCACCTGGGCTCTGTCTCAACCCTACATTTGACCTTGGGAAAGTCTCTAAAGCTCCCTGGCCAGAGCTTCCCCCTCTGCAGGTGAACTCAGCAAGTCCCCTGTGCCTCCACAGTTTTGAGTCCATGTGGAAAGTGCTTTGCAAAAGGATAGGAGCTGGGAAAAAATCAAGTGTTTGGTTGCTAGTAGAGAGAGGGATTGAACCTGGGGCCCCTGCTGGGATGTGGATGGGGCAAGCCACTGATAAGCTGACCCCAAAGATGTCAGAGGTGGTGTCAGGAGAGAAAGCAGAACCAGTTTATGCCATGCTCTGCCCGGAGTGTGAGTGGGGCTAGGGCCCCAGGCTGTCCAGCATGCGGGCCTTCCCGTGATCTCTGGGGTTGAGCTGGGGGCTTGCTATTCATATACTCTGACGTAAACACCCTGTCCAGGGACAGGGCAGCTGCCTTGGCAGAAGCACATACAGTACAGTACTGTGTGTCCTGGGGTAGACTGAGACTCCTCTTACCAGGCTCTTGACTCATTCAGGGTATCCTGGGTCCTCTGTGCCCTCCCCCACCTCCTCCAGGGGTCATGAGGGGGCTTCAGCTAGATGCTGGGGAGATCAGAGAGCAAGGGAAGATACTGGATTTGATTTCACGGAATTGAACTGAACTTAATCAGAGGCTTCTCCTCCCAGAGGAGAGATCATGCCCAATGGCACAACTGCTTCCTGGGGATTGGGCTCTGGGGGCCCAGTGGCACAGCTTGTTTCACTGAGGGACTTTCTGTCTGAGAAGTTATTTTTAGCCTGGAAAGGAAGGTCACAGGGCATGAAGGCATCACCCTTGCTCTCTTTTGCTCCAAATTGCTTAGCAGGTCAGTGACAGCTTGGCATTAAATCATAAAAACCAGGGAAGGGTATGGATATAAATGTGTATACACATACATGTGTGCGCGTGCACGCAGACACACACACACACACACACACACACACACACACACACACACACACACACTTGAATTCCTGTCCGGTGCCCAGGAGTGGAGTGAAGTTCATGGTAAGCCCCCAAAATCTGGGGTCCTCATTTCCCTAGGGATTACCTAGCCCTTTAACCCTTACCAGGGACAGAGAGTGTTTTGAGAATATTAGAAACACCACAGGTGCTCAGACCCAAAGTATGTTCCACCTACCATCCCCACCATCCCCACTATCATCACCATCACTGTCAGCACCATCACCATCACCACCATCACCATCACTCTTAGCACCATCACCACCATTATCATCCCCACTATCATCCCCACTGTCACCACCACCATCCCCAGCATCACCACCATCACCACCCTCACCATCACTGTCACCACCATCACCGTCATCATCATCATCGCCACCATCCTCACCATCATCACTATTATTGTCAGCACCATCACCAGTATCATCACAGTCACCATCATCCCCACCATCACCATCACTCTTAGCACTATCATCACCATTATCACCATCACCATCCGCACTGTCACCACCAACATCCCCACCATCCCCACCATCCCCACCAGCATCACCACCATCATTACCATCACTGTCACTGTCAGCATCATCACCATCATCCTCACTATCATCCTCACCATTCCCACGATCCCCACCATCACCACCTGCCTCACTGTCACCACCATCACCATCACCATCACCATGATCCCCATCCCCACCACCATCATCATCACCATCTCCATCACCATCATAATCACCATCACCATGATCATCATCATCAATAGTAGAAGGCAGAAGGGACCTGTGGAAACAGCTGGATTCACCAGAGGAGAATTGGTGCTGTTACAAAGGCACATGCCAAGCCTTGGGTGACTCATCCAAATTGGAAGCCCCCAGTAGGTATACAAGTCAGGAGGGCCAGGAGCAGAAGCCTTGGGCTCAGGATTATTTGATTTATCAGTGGTTTGCAGCTTTGGCTGCATGTTAGAATTACCCAAGAAATTTAAAAAATGTTTTTTTTAATGTTTTATTTATTTCTGAGAGAGAGAGAGAGAGACAGACAGACAGAATCTGAAACAGGCTCCAGGCTCCAGGCTGGCTGTCAGTACAGAGCCAGACGCAGGGCTTGAACCTGTGAACTGTGAGATCATGAGCTGAGCTGAAGTCGGAAGCTTAACCGACTGAGCCATCCAGGCACCCCAAATTTTTTTTTGTTAAAGTCCTGATGCTGAGGATACATCCTAATTCAATCAGAACTCTTGAGGAGAGGGGAGGAGTGGCACCAAGAACTGGGTGATTCCAGAGTGCAGCCAGTGCCCAGAACCACTGGTTCAGAGGCAGTTTTATTAGGAGGTGTAGACTAGTGCTTCTGGAAATGAATCACCTGGGCATCTTGTAAAAATGCAGATTCTGATTCAGTGGGTCTGGGCCAGGGTCAGAGAGTCTGCATCTCTCCCTGGGTCCCAGGTGATGCCAGTGCTGTGGATGCTCTGCTCCAGGGCCAGGCTGCCTTCTTTGCAGCTCTGTAGTTAAACGGCTTCAGCCAATTGTCAGCTGAGTGTGGGGCAAGGCATTCAGTGTCTCAGATTTCAGTCCTCTCAGCTGTAAAATGGGGATAAACATAAGACTTGTCTTACAGAGCAAGTGAGACTAAGTACAATGAGTAAGGTCAATTCATGTTTTATGTATATAAAGAACTTAAGCATTGCCTGGCACCCTGAATGATTGTGCACATGTATCTCATATGAAATATATTACATGTATCTTGGTGCTGAAAAGGACTATCAGTCTCTTTGGGTTAAACCAAGTTCCCGCCCTAGATTTCTCCCTGGGGAGTTGAGGAGATAGAGATGCAGGTGGAAGAATCAGGACATATAGGTATTCCGGAGGTAATGGAAGAGAATTTTAGCGAGTAACCTCCAGCTCTCTCTCTCCGAGGGACCAGAAATTCTTTTTTGTACCCAGATGTGACCACAGACCTCTCCATAGCACTTTCTGGGGGCCAGGCAGGGTTCCAGGCTTGGGGAACACAGGAAGGATGAAGCCTTGGCTCCCATAGTTCAGGAGTGGAGAGAAGGCACGTGCAGGGAGGGGTGAGGTCCCAGTGAGAAGGGATTCTCCTGTGTGCCCCCAAACACAGTTGGCATGGAAGGCCTAGACAAGGAGTAGGTACTTCTGGGCTCCAGTCTGTCATCCAGACGGTTACCGAGGAGGTTGGCTGAGGTCATGAACGTGGAAGTGTCCTATCAGTGTAAGCGGTTCCTTTATTTCCTTCTTCTGAATTTGATAGCAAGTTGCCGCTGTGGGGGCTAATGAGAAAATATTTGTTCCTGGCCCCTGGAGGGTGCCCCACCTTTCAGAGAACAAGGTGTGTGGGGACTGGGATGTCAGAGAGGGACCCCAAGAAGTGGCTTTTCTTCGTGGGAGGCAGAGATGGGAGACCAGACTGTCCCTAGCAGAGGTGGGATGCTGCTTCCTCAGAAAGCATCTCTGTGAGTCAAGGGAGCCCTGGGGCTGTGTCAGCTACCCCAGGGCAGGGGGCCAGTCACCCCTCATCTCCCTATGCCTGCAGAGTCCCCCTTCTTAAACAGGTTCTAGCCTGAGTGGGAGGGGTCAGAAGGGATAGGCCCAGTCCTTTCTTCTGACACCACTTTGCACATGAATCACACTCCTCTCCTGACCGAGGTCTCCAGTACTTAGAAGGCCCCTACCTTACTCTCTCCTGCTGCCTCTTTGCCCTCAGCTCTACTGGTAAAGCTGTCAGTCCTTAGAAGGGGATCCCTTGGGAAGGGGTTGGCTAAGGCCATCGGGAAGCTCTTGGCCCTGCCTTGGATATCTCCTCCTCAGGCCACGTCCCCTCTAAGGTAGCAAGGCCAGCAAATGCCTGCCCTGAAGGGAACAGAGTTGGATGTGTGACTTAATAAGGCTGAGAGCCACAAGTAATCCCCTAAGTACTTGCCGTGTAACCTAAGATGATCTGGCCCGCATACACCTGTTTTCACTCCTTTGCTGATAGCAATATAAAAAGCATGCCGGCTAATGACTCTAGGAAATGACAGGGGTGGAATGTCCATGCATCTGTCCTATCTTGGAAAGATCTCTTGGTGAGCCTGGCTGCACGTGCCTGCTGCAAGGTTGAGGAAGGGCTGGAAGGGATCCCTGAGTTTCCCTCCCCGTAGTCGTCAGGACCCAGCGGAGGCTTGAAGAGTCAGGGCTGGGGTGGGGCTCTCAGGGCGGCTCAACCACTCACTCCTCCAGTGGTGGACAGTGGTGATAACCGCCCCCCATCTTGGAAGGGAGGCACAGAGATGCACACTCTGCTCGCCTCAGAGGGCAATTATGAGAGAGGGAGGGAAATGAGTAGCCGCGCGCCCCGGTCCGCACCTCACTCCTGGAGGACGGAGCTAGGTTGTGTTAGTCTTTAGAGAAGCAGAGTCAGTGCCAACCCCGTGAAACTGACCAATGGTGTTCTAATCATTTAGAACTGCAAGTTTCCGCCTCGGGTGGCACAGAAGATGTTGGCAATTTGTTGGAGAATCATTTTTCTGCCGGAGATGCAAGTCTAGAGGAGAAGGAAAGGGCGCTTTATGCGGAGGCGGCCCCTCAAGAGAAGACCCTGGTCCTTCACTCCCCGGATGGCAGGGAGGCTGAGAGCTCGGAGCAGACAGCTGCTGGGGCCCCTGCTGCTGCTGCTGCAGGCCCGAGCTCTGGTCCTGAAGCCAGCCTCTCCAATGCCTCAGCCTCAAAGTCAGCTGCCCCCGGGGACCTTGTGGGGTCTGGGGAGCAAGAAGCGGGTCCACCAGGAGGGGAGGACGGGACTGAGGAAGAGCTGGGTTTGGGAGAGGGACCAGGACAGGAGAGGGATCCTGGGGAGGCCGAAGAGGTCATAGGCGACCACCTCGAGCAGGGGGCAGCAGTAGGGGCCACGCAGCTTGAAGGCTCGGGGGCCTCTCCGGGCATGGAGGCCAAAGAGGCCCATGCCCCAGAGACACGACCAGAGGACAGCCCAGGACCTGATCAGGAGCCAAAAGTGCCAGACAGAGTCTTGGATCTGGACACGGAAACCGAGGAGGGGACCGAGGACCATGGGGAGCCCATCCTCACCCTAGCCTTGGAGACCAGCAGTGTACAGAGCTCCGAGGTGGGGGGTGACCAGAGGGCCCAGCCCCCCGAGGCCCAGGCACCAGGGCTAACTGAGGAGGACACCTCCTCTGAAGAAGAGAGTGGTGACCACAGTGGAGGCGAGGAAGGAGAAGGCGCTCTATCTGAAGAATCCGAGGAGGACAGCGGTGACGGGGCTAGTTCAGAAGAAGAAGAGGATGAAGAAGAAGAAGAAGGGGGTGCCCTGGAGGAAGCCGGGGAACCCCAGGAAGGAGCAGCAGCTACAAGCCCTGGGGACGAGGAGGCCCAGCTGATCTCAGGGGAATTGAATGCAGGGCCTGAGGAGAACGAGACAAAGGAACCCGAAGAGGGACCTCAGGGTAGGGGGTTCCCAGAATTAGCAGACATGTGTGGTGGGACAGGGTGGGGTGGAAGAGCCCCCCTCTGCCCCCTGTCAGCTCCAGGTTTGCTGGTTAGAGGCCTAGGCCAGGATGCCTGGCCCACAGGGCACCTGCGGGCTGCTCATTAGCCGCTAAAGCCTGTTCAGAGGGACCTGGGGGAGGCCTCACTGTGGAGGGTCTAGAGGACTCTGGTCACTTGGGAGTTAGGCCCTCGGGAGCCTCCCTGTTAGGATCCCTCCATGCACTTTAACAGGGACAGTGCCTTAACCTGAAGGACAAGGGACGTAGTGGCAGGACTTGAGGCCATGTCTTGGCAAGCTGGTGGAGGCGGGTGCAGGTAGGGTCTGGTTGGGAGCCCCCTGGCGTCTCCCCTTGAAGGCTGGGCCAGGTCCGGTGGGGTGAACGGAGACCAGGGTCAGGATGGTGAGAATAAATCTCAGGCTGGGGGTGACAGTGATGTCCTTCAGATGGCCACTTGGAGAAGCAGCAGCCACCCCCTCAGCATGAGGCGTGGGGAGCAGGGGAGGGAGGTGTAGTGCAGCCCACATGCCACATCAGAGATGCCCCCCCCCGCCGGCCTTTCCCCTGTCCCCTCTGTGCTGCTGCCCAGGCTGATCCCTGTGGAGAATCCCACTCCCCAGCTGCTGCGGGGGACACACAGATGCTTCTCAGCTCCCATTCCTTGTGAACTGGTCTCCCAGTGACCCTCACACCCACGTCCATCCCACCCAGCACAAAGGCTGGGTATTAGAGGCCCATGGCATGGGGACCCCTCTCTGGGAGCCTGCAGGTGGTCACTGGCATCTCTGGCTTGGGCAAGAAGCAAGGGTTGCCCCCTACCCACCCCCGCCCGCAAGACTCCCAGCCACAGCTCCTCCTGCCCAAACCCCACCAAAGCCTGTGTGATGCTGATAAGATGCTCATTCATCAGGGCAATTGTTTGCCTAGAGCCCAGCCCTGACTTCCAGTGCTCTTACCGTGAAATGCAGACTCTTATAAACCACTCCTGTCTTGGGTCCTCATCTTCACCCAATTTACTCCTCACAGCAGGCTCCCGGAGGTTTTCGGAAGCCCCCGCTGAGACTTTGTAGGCACCTTAATTAACTTTCCAGAGGATTTGTCCCTGTCTCCCCACTGGGCCATAGGAACCCTCCAGGGCAGGAGCTTTGCTTTGGGCACCACTGCATCCACAGCATGAAGCTCAGTCAGTGCTCAGTCAGTATTTGTCGAACACATTAAATGGATCGTGGAGTTTAGCAGAAGTTGAGTTTGGGTTTTCAAAGTCCCTCCTAGAGCCAGAACTCTGTTCAGTTGAACTTGGCAAGCCTTCCTGCAGCACTTCCTTGTGCCCTTTCCTGTCTTCCAGGGGCTTAGAGCCTGGCTCCTAGCTTTGCCCTAACCGCCCTGCTCTCTACTTCTCTCCCCAGAAGAGGCGGAGGATGTGAGTGAAGAAGTCCCGATGAGGGACCGCTCCCACATCGAGAAAACTCTGATGCTGAATGAGGACAAGCCCATTGATGATTACTCTGGTAACCAGAGGAAGGATCTGGAAGACGCCAGGCAGAGCCTCAGGGGCTGGGCTCTGAGGGCAGCAGCTACCCAGGCCTGAGAGCCCTGGACGTGGGGGGGCTTCATGGAAGAGGCTCTGAGAGCAGTGTCCAAGGCTGGGGTGGGGACTGTGGATTGGCAGGGAGGAGGAAAGGCGAGCTACAGACAGGGGCCACTGCAAGGGTAGGGGACAGATCCCAATGCTGCCATCTGGGGCCCCGTGCCAGTTTTCATGCTGTGGCTGGGAAGGCTTGTTAATAACGGTTCATCCCATCTGCTTTGATTTTTACAGTTTTTGAAGCCCTTTTATTTCCAGGATTTCATCCTCATAATAACTTAAGGCTTTCAGTGGGGCTAATTGCCTCCTCTTAATTGATGAGCTAGCTGGGGCTTAGAGCAGCTGCGGTTTGCACAGGGCACATGGCTGGATGGGAGCAGAGGGAGGGGAGGGTCTAGAAAGCCTGACCCGGGAGCCAAGCTCCTCCTTCTGTGCCTCACATCCTGTGGGCTCCCAGTCTTGCCCTGGAGGGAGAAGAAGATTAGGTTAAAAAATTCCAGGAGATTCTGAGGGTGGAAAGGGAATGCCTTTCGGTTAAAGATTTCTGAGGGTTGGGCTGTGGACCAGCTCCCTCCAGCAATGCTAACAGATGGCATTGTGAGGGTTGTGGGGGGGGGGCGGGCCTGCTCCTGACCTGCCTGGGGGGAGGGTAGTGAGCCGGACCCTCTCCTTCCTCCCTCTCCTTCACCTTTCTCTGCTCCCAGTGGTGCTGCAGCGGCTTCGAAAGATCTACCATTCGTCCATCAAGCCCCTGGAGCAGTCTTACAAATACAACGAGCTTCGGCAGCACGAGATCACAGGTACCTTTGTGTCTGATGCCCATCCACACTCCCTGTGCCCTCCAGAGCTGTGTGAGCAGTGGGCACAAGGACAGGGAGCTGAGCTCTTCTGAAGTCTCTGATGCCCTGGTCACACGATCATCTTTCCCCTGCAAGATTTTCCTAACGGGACCAGGTTTTGTGGAGATCGCTGATTCTGCAAACGTTCACACTTGAGTAGTGCAGATGTGGTTTCCAAGGGCAGCGATGCCCGTTCCGTCCCTCCCTTGCTGAGGGGCCCACGACAGCCCCCTGACTGCGAAGGGACCATGTGCTAAGTCCCCTAATTGCAGGAAGGCCTGCAATCCTTCCCTTCTTCTTATGGCTTCTTTGTTTGGCTTTCCTTGTGTCGAGATTCTTTTAAATGTTGATTTTCAGAATAATTAAAACAAAGTATACTTGTCTCTGTAAAAGAAGAATAATCAAATAATGGAAAACAAGTACAAATTGAAAAATAAAAATCCCTGGGGCTCCTGGGTGTCTTAGTCAGTTAAGTGTCCCGCTTCAGCTCAGATCATCATCTCACACTTTGTGAGTTAGAGCCCTGCATCAGGCTGTCTGCTCTCAGCACAGAGCCTGCTTGGGATCCTCTGTCTTTCTCTCTCTGCTCCTCCCCCTCTCAAAAATACATACATACATACATACATACATACATACAAATCCCTTTCTTGATTTCTAGTTTCTCTGCTTTACTTCCAGTGACTGCCACTGTCCTAGTTCCTTGCAGATACTTCCAGACCAGACATTTGCTGTGTGCACATGAGCACATACAAGTATGTCCTCTGTTAGTTTGACACAATGATATCACATCACACGGTTGTGTATGTGCAGCCCCGCTTTGCTCTGAGCCTCTGAACGCACCACACTAGATGGGTCACTGTTCTAGTGATAGACAATGGGGTGTTTGCCATGTTCCATTTTTATTGTTTTTAATTATAACTTTTTAATTTCTTTTTTGAGAGAGAGAGAGAGTGTGTTAGCAGGGGGTACAGATTAAGGAAGAGGGAGAGAGAGAATCCCAAGCAGACTCCATGTCTAGTGCGGAGCCCGAAACGGGGCTTGATCTCGCGACCATGAAATCATGACCTGAGCTGAAATCAAGCCAGATGCTTTATAGACGGAACCATCCAAGCACCCCGCCATGTTCCATTTTTAAAAATGTTACAGACACTTCTATAATCGTTACATATTCCATGCAAATATATTTGTGGGATACATTTTAAAAAGTGGAACACTGGAGTTAAGCATTTTCAGAGTCGTCCCCAAGTTGCCGTAGGTGGTACCAGTGTGAGGCCACAGTGTGTGAGAGCTCTTATCCCCCACAGCCACGCCCTTTTTGCCAGTCATTTATCTTTGAAAACCTTCACAGTGGCATCCCACTGAAGAGTGGTTGGCATTACACACCTCTTTCTGTGCAAATTGGCTATTTCCGTATTATTTATGTGATGGATGTGCTTGACGGCTATAAAGTGGGTTGGGTCCTCAGGATGCGCATCATCCCTGCTTCAGGAATAATGGGACCTGGTGCCCAGGGAGATGCTGGGCATCCAGGATCACACGGCCGGAACCAGGAGCTAGAACTCTCTGCTTCTAGGAGAGAATGACGTTTCATGATTCCCCGACTGCCTCTTGCAAGACTAAGAGCAGATGATCCTCTCCAGCTTCACAGAGGCTATGTGAGGTGGCGGTCTCCCTCCCGGGGCTTTCCCATCCTCAGCACTTGCCTTTGCCCGCAGCCCCAGACCCAGCGGCTGGGCCCGGGAGGCTGCGGGCCAGTGAGGTCAGGGTGCTCTGCAGGGAGGGCGTTCCTGGGTCCGGATCCCACTTTCTGGGCTTGGCTTCTCTCTCCTCACCTCTCCCAGTGCAGGGGACTGCACCGCGTGCCTTGGGGCAGCCTCCGAGGCTCACCTGTGGCCTCCTGCACAGGCCAGTAACTCCCCCTGCTGCAGACAGCCGGAACAGCAGCCCCCAGAGAGCTGGCTGGTTCCTCTCTCTGCTGGATGCTGGAAGGTTCAGTTCTCCTTGTCTCCTGAGCCTGGGTAAAAGACACTTTTATAGGACCTCTGTGGCTATAACTGGGGACTCCCACCACTCCCTTAGCCTGCCTATCCCTCCCTGTCCTCAAGGCAAGGGTTGCCGTCCAGAGATGCGAGCAACTCATTGTGTGTATTTGCAGGCAGGGAGGAATGGGGCAGGGCCATGGTATCAATTTCAGGCAATTATATATGTGCCTGACACTTAGAGACGTTGTCTTGGTCTTCTGGGACTTAGTTTCACCTTAACAGAAGGAAAACTGGCACAGTAAGAAGCGAGGTGCTGAATGAGAGGCATACTGTACTCCTCTTTGTAAAAAAATTAAAGGGGGAATGTGATATCTGCTAATATTGCTTCTCCCATATACATTAAAATACCAGAAAGGTGGGGCATCAGTTAAGCATCAAACTTAAACTCAGGTTATGAGCTCACGGTTCATGGGTTCAAGCCCTGTGTTGGGTTCTGTGCTGACAGGTCAGAGCCTGGAGCCTGCTTCAGATTCTGTGTCTCCCTCTCTCTGCCCCTCCACTGCTCATGCTCTGTCTCTTCTCTCAAGAATAACTATTAAAAAGATTTTTTTAAATACCTGAAAGAATATGTAGTGGGTGCTATGGCCTAGGAAGATTGGGGACAGGAGTGGGAGACTTTTCACTGTGTACCTTTTTATACTTCTGATTTTTTTAAATTAAAAAAACTTTTTTTTTTTTTTTTTTAAGAGAGAGACAGTGTGTCTACATGAGCAGCGGACAGAGGCGGTGGGGAGAGAGAATCCCAAGCAGGTTCCATGCTCAGTGCATAGCCCAGTGCTGGGCTTGATCCAGTAATCCTGGGATCATGACCTGAGCCAAAATCTAGAGTTGGAATCCCAACCGACTGAGCCACCCAGGTGCCCCTATACTTCTGATTTTTGAAGCAAGAAATTAAATACTGTACATCAAAACAGAAAAAAAAAAAAGAAAAAGAAAAAAAAGAGTTCCTACCATTTGGGGCCTATGTACCAGACTCAGGGAGACAAAGGGTCTGTAGAATTTGAGGTATAAACTAGGCAGGGCGGGCCCTCTGTGCAGTGGCTTAGAGAGGAGCCGCAACAGTGGGAAGCTGCAGGGCAGCAGCCAGTGCCCCCACCTGTCAGCCCCCCCACCCCCTGCTTTGGAAGCCCTGGAGGATTCTGCTTTCCCTTCTTAGGGACCCCAGCTGGCATGGCCCAGGGAGGGTGTGCTTCCCAACATTGCCAAGAACCCAAGAATTGCCTACTCAGTGCTTGGTCTTGGGACCTGGCAAATATGTCATGGTCTCTGGAGGCTAATTTGAGACTGGCCTGGAGCCCAGGGCTGGGCTGAGCCTGAGGTAGGATGTCAGGGGGCTGCCATCCAGGCTGTCTAAGATTGTGTGAGCCTCTTTCCTGTCTTTCTGTTTTTTCTGTTACCAACCCAGATAGCAGAGTTTTATCCTCTCCCTATGGGGTAGCTCCCTTCTCCCCTTCTTAGGAACCATTCTCCAGATGTAAACCCAGAGGCCTCACCGAGAGTGAACTCTGAGTCAGTGTTTGTTGATGTCACTTAGCTCCTGCTTCTGGTGCCCTTGTGCCAAGGATCTGTGTAAGGCCAACATCATGTCTCCTGGGTTTAACTGGGCGACCGCACTTATGTAGTGAGAGATGTGCGGCGGATTGCCACCCATGTCTGGTCCACTGTGGAGTTCCGTGACTCAGTTAGGTGGACTGTGTGATTCAGTGTGACGCCCTGTGTCACTCCCGTGGGAAGAAGCTTCATTGGTCACTTCATTTCTAATTCCTGCCGTCTACAGATGGGGAGATTACTTCCAAGCCAATGGTGCTGTTCCTGGGACCGTGGAGCGTTGGCAAATCCACCATGATAAACTACCTCCTTGGGTTGGAAAATACTCGCTACCAGCTCTATACAGGTGACAACGAGAGATTTTTCTTGTGTGCTTGTTGGTATCTCAGTGTCCTGCGTAAAAGCACTAGGAAACATTCGTATGTGTCTTCAATATAATCATGAAAATTATATACAGGAGCCCAGCAGCCACAGTCCATATTCACAGCGTTTTTCACAGTGCCCAAGAGGTGGAAACAACCCAAACATCTGTCAGTGCGTGAATGCGTACACCAAAGGGCCTATCCATACAGCAGCGTAGGGAGTATTATTCAGTCTTAAGAAGGAATGAGTTTCTGAAACATGCTACAACATGCATGAATCTTGAATTCACTATATATTAAGTGAAATGAGCCAGACACAAAAGGTCAAATATCCTATGATTCCACTTATGAGATGCCTTGAATTCTCAATTCATAGAGACCGGAGAGTAGAGGTTACCAGGGACTGGGAAGGGGCAGTGAATGGGGACCCTTTCAGTTGGGAGATGGATGGTGATAACGGCTGCACAGCACTATGCATGCAATTAGTGCCTCTGACCTTGTACACCTAAAAATGGTTCAAATGGTAAATTTTGTTATGTATATTTTACCACAACTGAAAAAAGAAAAAAGACACTGCTCAGCAAACATAGATCCGATTCTCTTGGCAAAGCCTCCCTGGAACCCCTTGCTTACCCACTTACTTTGTAGTAGGCTCTTTTTCTCAGAGAGGACTGCCTTCCTACTAACCTCATGCCCATGCTCACAGGTGCTGAGCCCACCACCTCTGAGTTCACAGTCCTCATGCACGGGCCCAAGCTGAAAACCATCGAGGGTATCGTCATGGCTGCCGATAGCGCCCGGTCCTTCTCACCCCTCGAGAAATTTGGCCAGAATTTCCTGGAGAAGCTGATTGGCATCGAGGTTCCCCACAAACTTCTGGAGCGAGTCACTTTTGTGGATACACCAGGCATCATTGAGAACCGCAAGCAGCAAGAAAGAGGTAATTAAGCTCTCGTGTCTAAACAGCATGAGCTTCGTCTTAGAAAGCTGTTGGACAGCGGGTGGTAGGCAGACAGGGGAGAGGAAGTGTGGCCAGCATTGTCCAATACCAAGGGGTATGGTCTTTGCTGCCAGTCTCTTCTGGTTGTCACTATTGTGCCACTCAGGTGTGGAGTACCATGTTCTTTTACCTCCCCAAGGGCTGATCTGGTTTGGAGGCAACCCATATTTTCCCAAAGGGAGAGCTGGTCATCTCTGTAAGTAGCTCCCTGAGGCCCATGCTGGGGCTGCACCGTCTTGGGGAGCTCAGACTTTCCCGAGGGGTCATGGGCCTGCACTAATTGGATCCCAGTCCAGGGGTACTTGACCTCTGGTTAACTTGGGTCTGGTTTGAACCTGACCTTAAATTCTTCCTAGTCCAGTGTGTGCTTTACCAGGCCTGCTTCAATATAAGCCTGTTGAGACGTTCCAAAGTTCTACCTGCCTTCCAGTGGGAGGGGAGTGCCACTTTGGGCCCAGCAGCCACTGGGTTATGACATAGGCTACCGGGTATTGCCATGACACAGGGCTGAGTCATATGAGATGAGTCACAGCAGGGCATTTGTAGGACTGTATGACCAGATGGTGGTTCTCAGTTTACAGTTATAACTCTCATTTTGGTTTTATTACTGTTTTATTACTAGTAATAATATTATCACTAATCATTATAATAGTAAGTTAACTTTTATTCTTCTGTTATGCATCAGATAATTTTATGCATTATTGCATTATTGTAGAAAAATTAAAAAACAGGTATTCCTGGTCTCCTCATTTTGGAAATAAGAAGTTGAAGGAATTCAAATATGTCGAGCACCTGCTATGACACAGGCAGTTTTAGTTAGGCGCTTTGCTTTATTTATAACATAATAATCTGTATATCAACTTAGTATTCTTGTTCTTCTTGTCATTTTGTAGAGAAAACACTAAAGCTTAGATGCATTTGATACTCTGGGCTGGCCAGTGGCAGAGCTCAAATTCCAGTCCTGGTCGTAGGCTATTCTTGGTTGAGGGTTGACAAGGCCCAGGAGATAATGTAATTAATTTTTTCAGTCTTCAGAAACTCAGAATGTGCCTAGTGCTGTTACTTCCTTCAACCCAGGCAATGGTTTGGTTCTGGAAGGAGGCACGAAGGGCTTAGGGTGAGCCTGCTCTGCTTGACTTCTTGCTCCCCCCTCCCAAGGTTACCCCTTCAAAGACGTGTGCCAGTGGTTCATCGACAGGGCAGACCTCATCTTTGTTGTCTTTGACCCAACCAAGCTGGATGTGGGTCTGGAGCTGGAGATGCTCTTCCGCCAGCTGAAGGGGCGTGAATCCCAGATAAGGATCATCCTGAACAAGGCCGACAACCTGGCCACACAGATGCTTATGCGGGTCTACGGGGCCCTCTTCTGGAGCTTGGCCCCGCTCATCAATGTCACAGAGCCCCCGCGGGTTTACGTCAGCTCCTTCTGGCCACAAGACTACAAGCCCGACACCCACCGGGACCTGTTCCTCAAGGAAGAGATCTCCCTCCTGGAAGACCTGAACCAGGTGATTGAGAACAGGTTGGAGAACAAGATTGCCTTCATCCGCCAGCATGCCATCCGGGTCCGCATTCACGCGCTCCTGGTGGACCGCTATCTGCAGACTTACAAGGAGAAAATGACCTTCTTCAGTGATGGAGAACTGGTCTTTAAGGACATTGTGGAAGACCCTGACAAATTCTACATCTTCAAGACCATCCTGGCAAAGACCAACGTCAGCAAGTTTGACCTTCCCAACCGCGAGGCCTATAAGGACTTCTTTGGCATCAACCCCATCTCCAGTTTCAAGCTGTTGTCTCAGCAGTGCTCCTACATGGGGGGCTGTTTTCTGGAGAAGATTGAGCGGGCCATCACGCAGGAGCTGCCCAGCCTCCTGGGAAGCCTAGGGCTGGGGAAGAATCCCGGTGCTCTCAACTGTGACAAAACAGGGTGTGGCGAAACCCCAAAGAATCGCTACAAGAAACACTAGGTCTCTGTGCAGCCGTTCTTGGCTTCCTGTTGGTGGATGAGCTTGTGTCCTAACAGTCTGAGAAGTCCTGATTAATTAACCCTTTGAGCCACACGGGCGAGAATCACTACGTGTTGGACATTTGGGAGTTTGTTGAGGCCAGTGGTGGGGGAGGGTATGGGTCGAAGGAGGAGAGGAAACTGTGAATTATAGTGTCTTGTTGCTTTAGTGAGGGGCCTGAGTGAGGCCCCGCCTGCTTTTCTTGGGTCCTATCACAGAGGGACAGAGAGCAGCTAAATTCTAGTGTGTACTGAGGTGATGAGCGTCAAGCTAAACGCCGCTGAGATTCCTTTTTCCCTGTAAGCTGGGAAAATAGAGAAGACTCGATTTCTCTAGGGCTCAGGTCCCTTGTAGCTTCCTTCCACACAGTCTCCCACTGGTCCTCCAGCCCTCATCGGCCTCCTCAGCTTGGGCTGACTTCAACAGGGGATGGTCTCTTTGGCCTGAATCCACCTGGGTGTTGGGCCTCCCCACCAGGCCCTCTTTCCTGTTTCCTCGAGGGATGGGGGGATGGTTTAGGATACCAGAACGCTGAGAGAGAACAGGAGTCGCCAGGCGAGGAGAAGGTTCTGCCTCCCCCATGCCATTTCTCCCATGTAGTCTTCTAGGCCAGCTGGGAAGCTCGGTCCCTTTATCGGCCCCAAGAGGAGGCCGAGTGTTCCGTGGATTCAGGTCATTTACTTCTTGGAAGTGACTTCAGTGAAAATACTGGAAGGGCTCAGAGGGTTAATTGGTTTGCAGTGTGTCTTTGTCTATTGCATGTCTTGGAAAACTCAGACCCCAAAGGCGTTGGGTTTCAGAGGAGACAATGGAGACCTTGCTCCTTCTCATCAGGGTCTTCTCTGGGCAGCCCATCTCCCCTCCCCCCTAAATGTAGGAGGAGGTTTCCACAACTTCTCTGCAGAGACCCTCTGCGGAAGAGTCGTTCCCTCCTGGTTTTAGTGCCATGGCTTTTCCTCCCCGCTCTTCTTCATTCCCTGATGCACAACACTCAAAACTCCGAGTGATTTCCCACGAGTCAGAACCAGCACCAGCCACTCCGTGTCTGCGTCAACCAAGGCTTGACTGTTTGGTTTTCTACCTGAACTTAATACTGATACCCACCACAGGGAAGCAGGGGCCTTCAAGTACTGATGAGTGTGAATATGTGTGTACCACATTGTGCAAGAGAGATTCAGGAGATAGCAGACGCCAGAGCTCGTGGAGAAAGAAAGTGTTGTCAGGGTCCTGCCTGGCTGGTGTGCCTCCTCGGGAGCAACGGGGTGGAGGGAAGGAGTCTTTTGAAGAAAAGTAGGCGGCCGGACAGTTTGTGCAGATCCAAGAGACCCCGCCCAGGCCTCTCCTGCGAGCGAGCTGTCTGGGGGGTGGGACTTCCCCAGGAGGCCTGGGTCAGGGCCCACTTGACCAGGAAGTCCCCTTGGATCAGAAGGGAAGTGAGTGAAGATGAAGGCAGGAGGAGGCACTCTGCGGGCGAGGCAGTGGAAGCACGTTGGTGATCAGATCAGGTCCACGTGGAGAATTCAGAATTCCTGCTTCTTGGGATTGTTAGCACTCTGATGCATGCTGCAGCGGACCTGCTTCTCTGGCTTTGTGCAGGACCGGAACCTTGCACAGGACAACAGAGGCCCCAAAGCCTCCAGGACATTGTTTCCAAGGACAGAGCCTAGCACAGAAACAGTGCCTGTTGGGGCATCCAAGGGGCCTGGTGAGCAGGGCCTGACAAGCTGCTTTTCTTCTCGTTACAAACCAGCTCTCCCCTAGTCTCTGCATCGCGTACCGTCTCAAGAGCCTGCCTTCTCCTCTTTCTCCTTAATGCTCCTAACCTGGCATATCTGTCTTTCTCAGTGCAGTTGGGGACACGAAAAGCGCAGAAGTGTATGGGCATTGTCAAGGCGGCTAATGTCACCACTGCTTTGGGGAAGCAGGTGGAAGGAGGCTAATACATTCATATGGCATCTATATTCTCCGGGGGGGGTGGGGGGACATGATCAGTGTGATCTTCTCTCTCTTTTTTCATCCCATCCATTATCTTTTTCTTACCCCCTCCTCCTGCTCAGCCGTTGACCTCCCTTTTCTCCACACCGCCTGCAGGCTGGTCAGTCGGTCCCCCTGGGCTTTCAGTGCTGTTTGGGCCTCGCTCTGTGGATGTGGATTTCAAGCAGGAGTCTGACTGTCTTTTGGGGTAGGGGGGAAAGGGTTGGGAACTGAGGGTCAATTTCGGATCCAGAGATTCCTTTAAGAGAAATATCTGTTAAGTATTTGTGCCTGAACAGTTGCTGTTTCTCTCCAAAGTGGAACCTTTCCAGGGTTCTTTCCATTCTGATTTCATCAGGGAGGAAGTCTCAATAAAGTTCCAGTCTCTCTGTGACACCGCGTGCTTTCTGATCGCCTCCGGCCAGCCCGTTCTCTTTCTCTCTCCTTCATCTAGTAGTGGACCGATTCGTATTAAGACTTCATTGTTTTTCGGGCAGTTTCAGGTTCACAGCACAACTGAGAGGAAGGTAGCGGTATCCCACACACCCCTGGGGCCTCCACCCACGCACAGCTTCCGCCACCAGCAACACGCCCCTGGAGTGGGACATTTGGCTTTGCTCCTGGTGGCATGCGTTGTCCGTGTTTGGACAAATCGATCATGACACGTGTCCATTGTTCTAGAATGAAATGAAATACAGAGTATTTTCACTGTCCTGAAGATCCTCTGTGCTCCACCTGTTCATCCCTCCCATCTCTTCCCAACCTCGTAAACTAATTTGTAACTTTCTTTTTTTTTTTTATGTTTATTTTTGAGAGAGAAAGGGAGAGATTAAGCATGGATGGGACAGAGGGTGGGGGAGGGGAGGACAGAGGATCCGAAGCGAGCTATGTGTTGACAGCAGGGCTTGAACCCATGAACTGTGAGATCATGACCTGAGCTGAAGTCGGACATTAAACTGACTAAGCCACCTAGGTGCCCTCATTTTAAGTTTCTTACGGATAAATTGACAATCCATGAATTGCCCACTCTTGTTTTAGACGTCCCCAAGGCTTCTTCCCTAGATCCCTCCCGCTTCCAGCCCCATAGTGTAAGATGACCTTGAAACCAAGGCTTCCTATTGTAGGATTGAAAATGAAAAATAAAACATTAAAAAAAAAAAGGGGGGGGCGCCTAGGTGGCTCAGTCGGTTAAGCGTCAGACTTCGGCTCAGGTCATGATCTCACGGTTTGTGGGTTCGAGCCCCGCATCGGGCTCTGTGCTGACAGCTAGCTCAGACCCTGGAGCCTGTTTCAGATTCTGTATCTCCCTCTCTCTCTAACCCTCCCCTGCTCTCTCTCTCAGAAATAAAACATTAAAATTTTTTTTTTAATTAAAAAAAAATAAAATGAAGAAATACACTCTCCTCAGCCCCTAGCTGTCATTCTCCCTGGCATCCATGGCAATAGCCTATTCATGGGAACTATTGAAGCTTCCATCCCCAAATCTCTCACAGAGGACATCCAGGCAGACACACCACTATATCCATGCCCCCAACCACACGGCTGCCCACTTGGTACCTGGAGGGTCTGCCCTGAACATACAGATGGTGTCTCCCCTTGGCTTCTGCAGAAAGTGGTGCTCCCCATGGCATGACCCTAGGGCTCCTCCTTACCTGCTTGTTTATTTATTTAATGACAGAGAGCACAAGCAGGGGAGGGGCAGGGGGAGAGGGAGAGAGAATTCCAAACAGGCTCTGAGCTCAGCACAGAGCCTGATGCGGGGCTTGATACCACGACTCTAGGATCATGACCTGAGTTGAAGTCAAGAGTCGGATGCTCAATCCACTAAGCCACCCAGGCATCCCCACTCCCTTCCTTCCATACTGTACCTATTTTTAAAGAAACCCTACCTTGTCCTTGGCTGCCTGAGCCTGTGATCTTCAGATCAGAGCTCCTTTACTTTAAAATTTTATTTCTGGGGTCTTCCTGAGGACTTCACACCCCTGCATGAGAGTGTTTGAAAAGGAAGAGGCTGGACCCTGGGGAGTCACTGGGGGGGTTGGAAGTAGAAGAGGGGTGTGAGAGTGACAACGTGCTATTGTGATGGGGTGTCCTCAGAGAGGATGCAGAATTCAGAGGCGAGGCCAGCTCCCTGGATTTTCCTAAATCGGGAGGTGCTGACCTCAGGGAGGGATGAGGCAGGCAGTGTGGCTCAGTGCCTCCCTCTCCCTTGCTCTCCTCCTGATTAGAGGGTCCAGAGTCCACAGTTAGCAACTGATGAGCCTGGCCTAACGAAGGCCACCACTGCCCTCCCCTAGGTCAGCTCTCCCCCCAAGGACAGCAACCAGTGTTTTCCCAGGAAAAGGGAGGGAGGTGATGTCTGTTTTGAAGATAAACATAAGACACCAGAACCTGCCAGCTTGTCCAAAATTGTGCTGTTTCACAAGCCTCGTGCTCTACCATCTTTACCTCATCTGCCATTAAGAAAGCAAAATGCCATGGAGGAAAGCAAAACCCAAGACCATTCCGAATATAGGCAGGTGATATAAGGGGCATGAATGGAGAGAGTGTCTTCATAGGTAGGGTACGTATCTGAATACGTGGGGGTTACTTGTGGTTGCATGTGACAGGGCGTGCAGACACCTGCTTGTAAAATCTCTGTGTGTGTAGAAACCAACGTGTATGTGAGTGTTTGTGACCAAATGATCTCTGAGTACGTAGCACAGTGCCCAGCACATAGGACTCATCACCTGTGTGCCATCAGAATGAATGACAGAGTAAGCAGGTTTGGGGGGAGTAAAGAAGGTGTCTGTGCACTGAATGTTGTGTGTAGAGGGTCCAGGGGAAGAAGGAATGTCTGGGGTGAGCAGGTGGGTGTGGCTGTGAAGAAGTGATTGTATGCGTAATATGTGGATTACAGATTGTGGGAGCATATGTGTGGCAGCTGTGTGCATGGGGTGAGCTGGACACCTGACCCAGGGTGGAGACCCAGGAAGACCCAGCCATGGGAGGACACCTACCAGGCCCTGGCTTTGCGGTTGTGTCCCATCCCAGTGAACCGAGGGGAAGTCTGAGCCTCAAAAACTCACAAGCACTAGCAACAAATCATGCCAATTCCCCTGTCTGTGACATTAGGCTCAAGCTTTTCCCAATCCAGGGAAACCTTAATTTTTCCTTAGAAGACCACAGAGGCAGTAAAAAGGAGGCATAAAAAAAACAGAAAAAGGAGTAGAGGCATATATTTGCCTGTAGCAAAGGTATATTCCACAGGTTCTGGGGTGTTCCCTATACTGACCTCTTATTCAAAGGATAAAAAAATAACATGTACAGATGAGCATTTTCCATGTCTGCTTGCACTGTGGAACATGTTCTGTTTTCTCAAAATTTCCATGGGGAAGAGAATCAACTTCTAGAGTATTCCTCTTGCCAGGAACTAGGCTATAGACCTATAGACATTCCCACACTTACCCTTGACATAATGTGATAATTCTAACA